TATAAGCATGATTTTCGTTAGTAGCTCGCAAAGCGTGTAACACAAGCGTGCTATTATTTCTTTTGCTTAAATTGGATTGTGTGTGATCGATTGCAATGGTGATACGGTTCGTAGATTTGTTCAAACTAGGTGAGAAACCTTCTATTGAGGTAATCACCTTTGCACAAAGATACGGACTCATAGCTCGGACTTTCAAGTGTCCAGCGTGCGATAAGGATATGATTCTATGCACTGCTGAATTTCTTTCGGACAAATATTGTTGGCAATGTCGTAGTTGCAAAACAACGAGATCAGTGAGAACTGGTTCGTTTTTTGGCAGATCGAAGTTATCAATGATCGAAATTTTACAATTGACATATTTTTGGATTCATAAGTACACCCAGATTCAGACTCAGTGGGAATTTCAATGTTCCCCGCACACGGCAGTCGACTGGTACTATTTCTGTCGGTTATGGTTAATTTTTTTTCTAATAGGCGGCGTGACTATTCCATGCGATTCACATTATATCCGGCAGATGGCGTTACCTCAAAAAACCTAAGTTACTAGTAGCCAACTTCAGTTCGGAGTCGTATACTGCAGTTTTACCGGGGGTAGTCTTCTTTTAGAAGCATTTTTCATTTCGCTTCATGATCACAAGAGGCGTTGCGATCAAGCGATGTGTTCCTATTTCTCTCTCCCACAGCCGATTGTAGAGTGAGATAGATAAGGGGCCCGTTCCTATTTATCTCTCCCACCGGAGATGAGTAGGGAGAGTGCCAATGAGCCTGTTTTTTTGGTCTCAATTTTTCTCTGGTTTCGGCGCGTCATCTTAGCGGAGGGCCCTTAAAGCAGTTCCACGTTTTTGATTGGTCGTGTATATATAGTAATACTACGCGTGATAATCTAGAGCTGTTTTGGCGCGTCGACGCGCCACCTGAACCAGACTCTCGAACTAGTTCCACGTTTTTGATTGGTCGAATGAATTCGTGTGTTCCTCGAGATCCACGATTTTAAACCGGGTGAACACTCAAATAGGGAGATTTTTATCCACCTTTTTTTTTTACAAGATATCACATAAACCGTAGTAATAAGGTAGTCAATACTCTTAATATCAATATGAAGCTCTGGAAATAATAGAGTAAGCAAATAAAACTTTAAAAAAACTCTCGAAACCCATGAAGGCATACAATGTTGCAAGCAAACTGAAAACATTCCCGCGGCTTCTGCTAGCCTTTTTCAGTTCTTTCTTCTAGTTTGAGTTTCTTCTAGTTTAAAATCATGTACACTGAGCGTCATTAATAGGTCCATCTTTTAGTGCAGTGAGGTAAGAGAGGAGACTGGGCGGTACCTGCTCACGTACCTCTGCCTCTGCGTGCAACGCAGAGAGCACTACGGTGCGAGCGAGATTCCAGAGCATCGCTCGGTGCATCCTTGTTGCACAGCACGAGTGTAAGCGAGACGGCAATGCGGCCCCTCACTCGCAATAGGGAGCTTGGTGGGGCATCTTCTCCTACGTTGTCGACCAGGCTAGCTAGCGCCAATGTCCCACCAAGCTCCCAGGTACGACTCAGTGGGACTCATGCATTGCCGTCTCACTCCCACTCATGCGTTCGAAAAGGATGCACCGTACGACGCTTTCGCGTCTCGCTCGCACCATAGCGCTAGCTACGTTTCACGCACCTATCCTGGTATACGTCCGTCAAAGAGTCACTGTCCACTCTTTTCTCTTATCTCACCGCACTGCATCAACAAGCTGGACAACATTAATGACGTTCAGTGTACAATAAATTCATCTAAATAGACTTTATATTACATATGCTGTTTTTCAATAATAATTGACCACAATTTTGTATTTTTTTGAGCCGTTCGAATGGCATTACCACTTTAAAAAGTTAAACAAAAAAGAAATGAAGAAAAAAAAAGTTTTTCTCTCTAGACGCGAACGCGGCACCTTACGATTACGAAGCTGAATCGTTGTCAACGCGCCCAATGCATATTCTTCATACATGATGATCCATAGCTGGTGGAAATGCGCAGCCTCACTTGTTGCGATACGGACTCTCATGAAGATGTAAGAGAAAAATTGACAGCAATGGAAAAAAATCTCGTTTCATTCGCTTGAGGCTTAATGCTTTGGCATTTCTAACATAGATACATTTCTCCATTTCATTTTTTGTTTTAATTTTATGTCCCAAAAAATTGCACTTATTAATATCGGGTAAAAAAATGAAAAGCGTAACAAACCCACACAATTATTTTATACATATGTACTTATGGTGAGATGAGACAAATAGTGTATCTGCTTAGAAATTTTTAGTTTTATACATTTTTGAGTAGCCTGATTCAATTTAGTAAATTTTTTTATTCAAGCCTACGGAAAGATAATTGTATTTTTAATATCTCGAATTATCAGTATGTTCTGATGCAAAAAACAATACAGAATTAAAATTATACCGCGAGATAATTTTCTGATAATTCAATGTATTCAAAATGTTACCTTTACATAGCCTTGAATGGTAAAAATTAAATGAAAAAAAAA